CCCTAATTATTTGTTGTAGAAGCTTTCTTGTGCATTGTAGGATGTTTAGGAACTTTCCTGGCCTCTCCTTTTAGGTGCCAGTAGCATCTCATCAGCTCTGACAACAGAAATGTCCCCATACATTACCAAATGTCCCCTGGGGACCAAATCATCCTCAGTAGAGAACCATTGATTTAAACTGAGTCATGATAAGCCCCATCCACATAAAAAACTTTCCATCGGGTTTTAGGGCCTCATTCTTAACATCACCAAACATGTAAGGAAAACCTCCAACATGAAAGAAAGAACTCAAAATAAATAAACAACAAAAAATAGTAACAATGATCAAAAAATAAAGCTAAAGATATAAATGACATTATTTTTTAACAGAGGTTTTAAAAAACAGAAGTTTAAAAAAATCAAAGAAATAATAACAGGAGAATGTCCTATAAGTGAAGGACAATCCCCTGCAGATTAAAAGGAACAATGATGAAGTTTTGGCTTTGTTGTAGATGACTTGTTGCAGACAAACTTTCCTACCAAGAACAACTAGAAATTAGGGATGATTTTTTTAAAAAATCTATATGAAGCCTTTAAAAATTTTTCAAGGCAGCAAGGACTTGAAGGTCTGAGATCCACAGGAAGAGGGCAGCATAGGAAGTCTGATATTTCGGACTGATATTTGGACATTGCTAAGGATGGATGAACCGAGCCTCCAGCGGTCTAGGAGGCTTGCGTTCAGGGACTCAAAGATGAGGGGCCCTAGGAAACACCCAGGTTTTTAGTTGAGCCCCTTCCCCACCCCAACAGGGCTACTCCCAAGAGTAAAGGGAAGATTTCCTAGCAAGACTGAAGCCCAGCTCCATCAATAGTCTCTATCCCTGACTGGATTAAGAGAACATGGCCCCGCTCTAGCTTTCTGCAAGAAGCAGGAAAATAACACTATCTGGAGGAAGACAACACCATCGAGAAGCTAAAATTTATCTCTACAGGTTTTCATACACAATGGTTGGTATTCAATGAAAAAAGTGATTATTATTGCTGGACACAAGACAGAATAACCAAAAAGCAAGATAAAAATATCCAAAAGGCCCACAAAAGACTAAAATATTATAATTAACAACATGCACTTTAAAAATTTTTGGACACAATTGCCCCAAAATTGGATGAAAATAGGGAGACCTTCAACAGATAACTGAAAGCTATTTAAAAAAAGCAAATTAAAATTTTATAATGTGAAATCAGTAACTAAAATGAAGAACTCTCAGTTGAAGACAGAATTAGTGAATTAGAAAACCAGTAAGAAAAAACATTCCCCAACTGACACACAGAGAGAAAACAAAACATTGGAAAACAGAGACTGAGATCTAACAAGCATGTGGACACGGTGAAAATTTTTATCATGTTTACTTGGAGTTTCAGAGGAGAGCAGAGAGACAATTGGTCAGAAGCAATATTTCAAAACATCATGGCTAAGACTGTCCCAAAATGTAAGATATCAAGCCACTGATTCAAGAAGTGCTACAAAACAAAGCAGGAAACATAAAAGAAGCCATACCTAGGTAAGTCACAGTCAAACTGCTGGAAAGAAAAAAAAAGGAAAAATTTAAAATACAGAGGAAAATATAAATATCTAACATATTCTCAATAGAAAATAAAGTACAGCCTCAAATATATAAAGCCTAAACTGATAAAACTTAAGGAGAAATTGACAAATCCACAACCACAATGTGAAATTTAAACACACCTTTTAATAACTGGTAGAAGAAGCAAACAACAATCAGCAAGGGTACACAGCACTGCACCCAGCAGTCACAGAACCATTGCATGTAGGAAGCAAAATTGACCGTGAGTGGGGGTGTTAAGCAAGTCTCGACACATTTCCAACAAATGAAATCATATTGACAGACTATATCCTCCGACCACTGTGACATAAAGCTAGAAATAGTAACACACAGATAAATGGAAAATCCCAAATATTTAGAAATTAAGCTATATATAAACTTTCAAATAATCCAAGGATTAGAAAAAAGAAAACAGCACTAGAAATACTTTTAATTGAACGATAATGAAAATAGAACATATCAAAACTTATGAGATGCAGTTAAAGCAATGCTCAGAGGGAACTGTATAGTCATGAATATGTATATACTAGAAAAGAAGATGAAGTGGAAATCAGATCTAAGTACCAAACTCAAGAAGTTATAAAAAATAAGAAGTGACAAATCAAAGAGAGTAAAAGGATAGAATCTATAAAGAAAAGAGTAGAAATCAATGAAATGTGACACACATAAAATACAATCAACAAAGCCATACATTGGTTTCTTGAAAAGACTAATTAAATTGATAATCCTCTGACAAGACTAATCAAAAAAAAAAAGAGAGCGAGACAGAGAGAAAGACACAAACCAAAATTATCAAGAATGAAATAGGGAATATTTTCACATATCCTTCAGATATAAAAGTGAATTTACTGAGTAAAATTACTCAGGGCATTTTCCTCTCATGCACCCTTTTTCAGGATGACATTTGCGAATATGAACCAGTAAAACATTGTCATATAACAAAAATGGGGAGGCTGTAGGACCCAGGAAATGCGGTGTGTCCAACCTAGGAGAACAGAGGAGATAATTCCTAGGAAAACCTGGGGATGATGGACACAGAGGTCCAGCTGCCTAGACTGGAGCAGGAGGGAGAGGCCCAGCTGGGGGTCTGCACAGACAAAAGGACCCCACAGTGGAGAGGATATGTTGGCACAACGCGGGAGGGGGACATGGAGAGCAAATGTTACACCTCAAAGCAAGAGAAGACAAAACTTTAGGAAAAGGGAAACATGAAAAAAGAAATTTCACTATAATATGTAACCTGGCTCTGCATTGAATAATATTTATCTAGTCATAATGTTTTATAATGTAACTAAAATGGTCATATAACCATAGTAGGGCAATGGAGGGGGAGTGGTGCAGTGCAGGAGAATGGAGTCTGCATCCTTCATAGCAGGAAATCGATTAATAATTCCTAAATGAGTAAGTCGGGAAATATGACTGTAAGCAGATCATTTAAAAACATAATGACCAATCCAGAAGAAACAGCTAGTAAGTTTAAAGCAATTCATATTAGGGAGTGAAATTGGAAGGGGAGCTGGAACAGGGAACTCATAGTAACAGTCAATATTGATGCACATGAAGGCGTCTGTAATAGAGTCACTTTTTATGAACAGGCTACAAAATGATATGGACAGTTTGAAAATACATACACCTACGCTTGTATAAGCCACATAAATCCGTCTGAAAAAGTACTCCAAGGCTTCGACAACAGCTATCTCTGATGATAAGATTATGGGTAGAATTTTTTTCCTGGCTTATTTGTATTTTCTGATGTTTCGACATAAATTGCTTTGTAGTAAGCAAAAAGTTATTTTAAAAAGTCAAATAATGAATAAAAACAAGATCATGATTGGGTAAACCTTCCAGGAATTGCATCAATTTACCTTCAAATAGTCCTTTGCCCCAGTCTCCAGATACTGATTACAGGATGAAGAAATAGATGACCCAGGTACCAAGTTTAAAGGATGGATGGAGTAAGGTGGGTGAATTCTTTAGCTAGGGAGTTGCAAGAGGAGATCTGCATCTGGTGGTTGCGCAGGCCCCCAGCACTCCCCGAGTTGTGGACAATGCCTGTCTTCACAGCAGGCCTGTTCACGGAGGACTGTGCAGGGTCGAACGGAAAATTAATCATCATGACCCACCACTAATGAGAGGGACTCTGGGTCACCAACTTTGGGTGGGGCAGGAGGAAGAGAGGAATCACACACTCAAAATTCCATGTGAATCCTACATTCTGAGTCCAGACACATTTGTAGGAAAAGCTCACGGTCTGAATGTCTGGTTCTGTTTTTTCCCTTAACTTTATAAGTTTACAAGTGGGAAAACCTGTTCAAAAGTAGTCTGGGTTCTAAGCAAGGTGCTGAGCGAACGTTTGGCCCTCTGAGACACCATGTTAGCACCAGCAGGTCCGCGGACAGAGACAAATGAGAGCCTCTGGGTTCTGGAGAGAAAACCTCTCAGACCAAGCCAGTCCTCGCTCCAACACACATGATGGAGGCTCTGTTACAATAAGCTTTCCAGAACGACTTCATTAAAAAAAAGAAAAAAGATGTGCTTCAATTACTTGAAAAACTGATTTAAGGTGGTAACGTTTATTTTAAAATAGTTTAACCTTTCTAAAGCAGTAAATTCACCAAATTTTTTTTTATAAAAGCAAAGTATTGTACTTAATAAAGTTCCTTTTCCCCCTCTAATCCTGTTGTTCCAGGCAGACGCTAGCCCCTTCCTGTGCACAAGCAGAGTGCCAGGTGACAGTGACCTGAGATCACCAGACCTCCTTCCTTCCCTCAGGGAATCTTTCTTTATTCCATTCTGCATCCAGAGGGTTACTATCCTGAGAGCATCCCTGGGATGCGCCTGACAAACTCTGATTTTGCTGCAGCGCCATTGTTTCCAGACATGTCATCTGCTTCCCTGCACTGGATAGTGGGACAGGATCTCCAGACCTTTGCCCAGAACCTGACTCTCCCTGTGTGTTCAGAAAATGTAAATGAATTTGTGGATTAATAAACTGTAGAGATGCAATAACTGTTTGCTAATTGACAGCCTTTTTTTATCTGAGCTCAACATTTTCAAACCAATGTAACTGCTTTCAATTGACTATTAACTCAATAATAGTAATTTCTTTTATAAACTGACTTTATAATTCACAATTCTTGTATTCAGACCAGAAGCCTTCCTTTTTAACTAGGTTTCTTACTATGCAAGCCCTGAATCAGCAAATCAGAAAACTTCAGGTGTGAACAAACTTTGGAGTGTATTTAGTTCAAGCCCTTCATTTTATAGATGAGAAACCAGAAACTGGGAGAGGAAGAGTGACTTGTCAATGTCACCCAGAAACTTCATGGCCAGAGGGTGGGCCAGAGTGGGGAGCCATCTGGGTGGGTGGACCCTACCACTCCCAACCCCACTTACCATACACCTGGAGCTTCTCAGTCAGTTCGTCTACATCAATGTGCAACTGGCTTTCTATAAAGTTCCTTATAAATTTGTTTCTCAGGGATTCCTAAAGGAAAATAGTATAGTTTAACAAAAATCTCATCATTTCCTCTTATTGAATAATATTTGTTAGGTTTATTCGAAGTATCATTATACAGGAAAAAGGCACATAGAGTGAATCATCTTAAAAGAGGTTCTAAAACATCACAATAAATAATAGGATAACATTTGCTTGGGACTTTATCTTAAATAACAAAAGTAACAATTATGACAATTTAGGTTGTAATTGTAATTATGCACTAATATTGAAAACGAAGAATGAAGTAAGTGTTGGCTTTTTGGCAAAATTTTCTAACAAAACTGTATGGTGATCCTTTACATAAATCTTTAACGTTGCTTTTTCCAAAGGCCAGTTATACAGAGGCGGGTCATTGTTATAAGAACACTAAGGAAAGGTTTCAGCATTTCCCAAAACCCTTTCTTAATCCTTCGATATTCTAATCATCTCTGGCAGCACCTTTCATGTTATCATTTGTATCACTTTTCTTTCATTATTGATGGTTCCAACTCTGCCTCATTTGTCAATGGTTTTACTATGGATAGTTCTCCAAGATTATTTTCTTCGACGTAATGAAATTGCATCTTTATTTTGCAGCTGGCATGAGTTTACTTGCACTGTCCTGCCACATACTCACAACACCCAGCAATCCCCAGGAGACTGGGACAGAAAAATACTGAGGCAGTGAGGCCAACGCCAGGATTAAGCATGGCACGATAGCTGAGTGGGGACTAATTTTGGAATTTGTCAGGTCCCTAGAGAATATTCATATATTATCCTGACTTTGTTTTACCACACAACCTTATAACTTGGGGACTTCAGAGAAGGCATTCTCATATGATGGCCACCTTCTGCATTTAGCTCTTTCTTTCCTCACATTTGCCTCCTTATATATTGATTTTATTGACTGGTCTAGGGATGACAGAACCTCATTATGGAACCTTGGTGTGCACTTTTATTTTTTTTTGGATCCTATTTGTCTTCTTTCATTGGCTATTAGCTATTTGCCAGACATTGTGCAGGGTACTTATTAGTCATTTAATCTCGGCAATTTGCAGCAGTCTCAATTTGCAGCTTATAATATTGCATGTAATTATTTGTAGTTGCAGCGGAGACTTTATGTAACAAAGCCTAAACTATTCACTATCTGAATCAAGCAGAAAAAGTCTGCTTGATTCCTGGATTAACAAAATAATCCATGAGAAAACAAATTAAAGAAGAATATTGCAATAAAGTTTGCCCTGGGGCCACACCTCCCTCGGGCTGCTCCTAGCCCACGACCACTATGTCAGGCCCATTCCTAAGAGCCACAGGGCCCATGTGACACAGGACTCCCGCACTGATAGCTGACTTTAGCTAGATGATGATGCATTCACTAAATGGCAGGGCCATCTAGGGTGCTCCCACCCGACCTCTCTCCTTCTCTCCTTCTCTCAGGGTCAGACCTGCATCGTTGTCTGATGAGCATGCTCCCAGCCTTCCCATGCTCCCTCTTCCTCTGCTCTAAAAGTTATTTCCCATAATAAAATCCTTGCACATGTAACCCCGTCTTGGCATCTGCTTCTAGGAGGACCCTGACACAGATGCATTTCTTGTGCGCCAAACATTATTCTAAGTGCTTTACCTAATCTAAGTCACTTACAGCTCATAACCACTATTATTTCTTCACTGGTAAGAAACCCAAGACACAGAGAAGTTCAGTGACCAGTCCAAGATCACACAGCACTGGGGGGCAGGGCTGGGAATCAAATCCAGACAATTGGGCTCCTGAGTCCATGCTCTGAATCACCTTGAACTATTCGTCTGATGCATTAGAAATAAGCCAAACAAGAATACAAATGCAGGCATATTTTCTCATGCTGTCAGACTTTAGGTAAGTTAGAGCTACACAAATGCCCCAAAAGTTACTCTATGACCTACCCTGATTAAAGTTTTGTAGTTAATTGTCAGGTTCTCAAGGAGTTGGGCCATTTTAAACCACAGCCCACATATTTTGGAATACATTACATTGTCAATACAGAATATCAGAAAATGATAACTGATCGTTTTGATAGACCCACAGTTGAAAAGTATGCAAACCACTCAAAAAAGCATTAGGTTATAAAATTCTGTCTCCATTTAAATTATGGAACTTAAGGCACATGTAAATATTAATAAATTAATCATTCTCACAATGGTAACATCTTGTGTGGGTAAAACACTGGATATTTTTTAAAAAATATTCATACATATCAAATTTTTATGTCAATATTACTACTCAACTGGGAAAACCATGCTAGAGGAGATTCTGTAGAACCTTCTAAGGGACGACTCTAATTTCACAGAAACCCCCTACCAGCTGTGCCCCCAGCCCTTGGTGGCACAGGGAGCCACCACTCACCTGCAGCTGGTTGAGCATCTGGCCATTTCCATTGCTCTGGAAAATGGCATACATTTTCAGCAATGTTTCTGATAAAGTCTTTAGCTTGTCCACAAAATAAAAAGTATAATTAGCCTGCAAAATAAAGCATATCTGGTTATGTCTCTAGCTCAGCTGAGCTGCACTAGGAAGACTCTTCAGTGCTGTGGCAGCTACACCAGGGAGAGAAGCATTACCTTGATTGGCCATCAGAGCAAAGCTCTGCCATTGCCACCTGCAGGCTGGCCGACACCTCCCCAGACAAGGCGACAGGTTCCACTGCCCTCATACCTAAGGTGAGCTCCCAAGACCTCTCTTCCAGGCTCTTTCCATCCAGCTGTCCCCACCTGTTCACCA